CTGGTATTCTTTTGTTTCAGCTTGAAAAATTTCCATTAGCATTTCTTGTAAGACAGATGGAGTTGTGATGAGCTCCTTCAGCTTTTGCTTGTCTGGGAAAGCATGGTTTCTGAAAGATAATTTGTCAGGTTATGCATTCTTGGCTGGCAGGTTTTTGTTTTGTCACTTTGAATGTATCATTTTATTGTCTCCTGGATCATAATGTTTCTGCTGAACAGTCCGATGCTAATCTCATTGACGTTCCCATGTAGATGATATGCTTTTCTTTCGCTGCTGTCTAAAGTCCCTTTGAGTGTGGATTGTACATGAGTATGTATTTATTTGGTCTGAGGGTTGAACCCAGTGCCTCACACACATGAAACATGTGTTATACTTCTGAGACACACACCTAGCCTTTGACTCTTGGATTATAATGTGTCTTGTTGGAGTTTTGCATTGGATGTGATTAGCAAATTTTGAGCTTCCTGTAACTGGATGTCCAGATCTTTCCAAATATTTTGGGAATCTTTTAGTCATTATTTCTTTAATAGTAATAATACATGTATTGTATAAATTAATGGGATTCTCTGTGGTATTTTTATGCACACATATATCACACAATGAGGTCAATCCACCCTTCTCATGTGCTTAGCACCCTTTTCCTCTCCCCCAGTACCCCTCACAGTTCTTAGAGGTTCTGTTTAATTTTTTTTTCTATCTCCACCTCACCCTTCTTCTCCAGTGACCACTGCTCTACTCCATTGTCCTATAAGTTTGACTCATGTAGCATTTGTCTTATTATGGTTAGCTTGTTTCATTCGATATAATCTCACCAAAAACCCTTCAGTGGATGGGTAAAGAAAAAAAGCACTGTTCCAGAGCCGGGGTTATAGCTGGCACAAGCGCCTGCCTGGCAAACGCAAGGTCCTGAGTTCGATCCCCAGTGCCCTCCAAGAAAAAGGCAAAAACAGAGGAAAAAACACTGTACAATGAAATACTACTCTGACTTAAAAAATATTATCATTTGAAGCAACATGAATGGAACCGAACAGCTTATTTCTAAAGGAGCATTCTCCCAATTCCTGTCTTCTCCATCTAAACACTTAATGATGTAAATAATTTTTGTAGTGGTGCTTTATAAATCTTACAGTATTTCATTTCTTTCCATTCATGTTTCTTTTTCTCTCTTCTGACTGGACAGTTTCATGATCTACCTTTGAGTTTGCTTATTCTTTCTTTTCTCTGATTGAGTCTGATGTTGAAGACTTCTGTTGAGTTTTTGAGTTCAGAAATTTTGTTCTTTGGCTCCAACATGTCTGATTATTATTTTTTTTTAATATTCTGTATCTCTTTGTTGATTTTTTTTGTTATTCTTGTACCCTTCCCCTCCCTTAGTAAAATGCTCATGCATGCTTTCTGTACCTCATTGAGCCTCTTTGGGAAAAAAACTGTTAAAAAAGTAAAAACAAAAAACAAGAAATTTTAAAAATACAAAAGAAAAAATTCTTTGAACTCCCTGTCAGACAGTTTGTAGCTCTCTAGTTCATTGAAATGGGTTACTGGCAGCCAGTTGTGTTCTATTGGCTGTATCACTGTACTACGGTTCTTGTAGCGCTGTGTAGGTATCTGAGTATGTGAAGAAGCAGTCACCTCTTCTAGCCTTTGTGGACTGGCTTTGGTGGGAAAGACATTACCTGTGTGGGCTGGAGGAGAAGCCTAAAGAACAGTTGGCACTGTGTCTAGTGCTTAGCATGTGGTTACTCCATGGTGTCCCTGGGTACAATGACGAGGGACTGATGTAGTGGGGGCTGAGGCCAGTGGTGCGCAGGCACCTGGATGCAGGCATGCACATGGTGGCTAGGGTTCAGGGCTGTGTGTGCATGGGTGTTGAGTGTGCATGTATGCATGCATGCATGTGTGGTGTGTGTGTACTCCTACAGGACTTAAGGCTGGCAGTGCACATGTACAGTTGTAAGGGTCAGCTGTAGGAATTCAGTTGGTGGTGGGGGACAGCAACAGATTAGGTCAGCTGCATGTATGTACGTACTGTGAGATTCAAGCTGGTGACCTGTACGTGTGCAGTTTCAGAGACTCTCTGTGGGTGCAAACATGGGACTAGAGAAGTGATGGAGCGGTGGAGCTGGCTGCATGACTGTGTGGAGCTGTAGGGAGCAGCTGTGTGCACATGAGCCACTGGGTGTCACAGGATAGGTGTTGTAGCACCACATGCATGCACAGCTGCTGAGACTGTAGCTAGTGGTATGCATATGCATGGCTATAGGAGCAGCTGTTAATGCATGCATGGCAGTATGAGCTGTTAAGGAAAGTCAGGGATGGCTGCTTGTATGAGTGGAGCTGCAGGGACTGTACTGGTGACAAGCATGCATATGGCTGCATAAACCAGCTGTAGGCACCTGCTTGGCTGTGAGACCTGGTAGTAGGAGTTGAGGCTAGCGTCTCACAGGCCATGGCTAGGGGATTAGCACATGTGCTGAGGGCTGTGTTTGCAGTGCTGATCTCTGGGTTGGGTGTCCATGGTGGTGGCAGGTGGGGCAGCTTTGGAAGGGAGGAAAGGGAGGGCTATTTCTCAAGTGCCTGGACACTGCAAAACTAAAAACTGTGGGGTCTTTAAGGGGTGAAAGCTGAGAGGATCTTCTGCTGGGTTCCAGTCCCCATGTCACAACGAGTGTGATGCTCTATTTGGGAAGTTCTTTGCGCCTTAGGTCTCAGAGCCTGTCAGAGTGACAGACCAGAGGCATCTACAAAGCAAAGGACATAAAAAACCTAGGCCTCAATGAATGGACCCCAAATTCAGCAGCACTTTCCCTGATATTGCATGTATGTGAACGCCTTCAAGGAGCTGAGAAGGTCATCCAGGGAGGTGATGGATAAGGGCCAATTGCCAGCTCATTAGAATGAAGCTGCTGCTGTGTCTGCTCCTAGGTCCTGCCTTCATTGCTCGGAGAATTGCTTCTGTAAACCTCACAGTTGGGGGCCCCCACTCCTCAGGAGTGCCCACTCACCTCTTCATCTTCTGTTGTAAACCAAAGTTGGAGGCAGAGGCCTGGCAAAGGCCCATTACTCACTTTTAATGAGACAGCCAGGGAAATAAATTGGCATATGTTAGTGAAATGGCTCATCAAGGTGAGTAATTATCTTCATGGCTGGGGCAGTTTACCCTAGATGAAAGAATTTGCATCTCATTTCTCACTGGGCCCTGGTTCTTCAGAGTGAGGGCAGGAGGCCAAGTGGAGCTTGACCACTGATCACAGATAACTCCACTTGTCTGGTGTTGCTACACAGTGTGGAATCATCACTCCGCAAATCTCATTGCATTCATGAGGACAGACTGCACATAGAAGAATGGAAACCCAGAGGAGAGAAACACAAAGCAGTTGTTTCATATTTTATAGAGTGGGGTGTGTTTGTGTGTGTGTGTGTGTGTGTGTGTGTGTGTGTATCTGTGTGATGGTGGGGGGACAGACCAGCTATTTTACACACCAGTGGGAAAAGCTGTTAGGGAGTGATTCTGACAGGTTACACTAAGTAAAATTTTCTTCTTAGTTCTGAAGCAAACTTTAATTGAAGGCCAATATTTTCTTGTGCATTGGTTTTGGGCCCTGGACAATCAGCATCTAATGATGTCCCAGTAGGCAATTGTCAATCTCAGGTCTTTTAACTTTTTTAGGGGAAACTACTGTGTTACTATTTTTTTCTGTCTTAGAAATATCAGTGTGTCTTCCAGGACAGAACATAAGCTACTTACAGTTAGGGATGAGGGTGTCTGCCCCCTACCATGGACTCTACTGTATTTCTCAGGATACAGATTACATCATAGAGTAAGTTTCTCTCTAGCCTCAATGTAAAGAAGCATTCCAAAGATCTGTTTCCCTCTAGACATTGGCTACTTTCTTTGCCTAACTCTGGTTCATAGCATGATTTTTGCATGAATTTCACTCTGATTCCCCTGACTATTTAGTTTCACTAGATAGCAAACTTCATGTGGTTAGGACTATTTCTGTTTGAAATTCCATCCTGTCTCCAACCCACTCAGTAAATAATTACTGTTTATTAAGTTCAGGTCTTGCAACTTTTGCATCTTTGTATGGTACTTAAATGCGTACTTTATTTTGCAGGAGCTGTTCCACTGAGCTAAATCCCCAGCCCCGTGGTACTTAAATGTAATTTGAAGCAAAGTAAGGTTAATGCATTGATACCCACACATTCACACTAATAATTTAAAAATATATCTGGCAAACAGTACCATTATATCATACTCAAAATGTTGAAAATTGTGAACAAAAGTGGATTGAGTTGCCTGGGACTCTGGTTGTGGTGTTTTCAATACAATGAGTTCCATCTTAATGGTGATGGAGAATATTCAAATGGCTTTATAGGACTGATTTCAGTTTAGTTCAGCGTGGAACTCAGGTCCTCGCTAAGGCTCAAATTCTCAAAAAGAACATTGACAAGGACTTCAATGTTTCCTGAATGTATCTGTGATACTGAAGGTGGTTCAAAATCCCTGTCTTCTCTGGTGGCATCTTTTTGGGAGAAGGAGGTAAGTTTTTGTGGTAGAGAGTCATGTTATAACTTGTCATGTAGCAAAGGGATCTAGATGTGGTCGAATAAATCTGGATGATAAGTAGAAAATTCTACCAGGAAACCAATTTTCTTCAGTATCCAGATGTGTTCAATAGACTGTATTGTGAGTAGCTTTTTGAGATTTCCTAAGGGTACTATATTTTTTATTTTTTGGTACCTGGAATCAAACCCAGGACGTTGCGCTTGCCAGGCAGGCACTTGTGCTGCTGAGCTATATCCCCACCCTCCTAAGGGTACTTTAGACCTGGCAGGGTTGCTAATCACTTGAGGGGCATTTCTTTGAGGGGAGGGCTGAGTTCTGGATCGGGAGCCTAGATCAAGGTAGGTATCACTGTCAAGTACATTTGCATGCTCTATGTGGCCTCAGAGTGGCAGCTGATTTCCCTGTCCCTATTGGAATCCTCTCATGCACTCACCGTTTCTGTCGATGGCAAAAGGCACATCTGTTGTGACAATTTCATAGTTGCAAATCTGGCTGTACTGGGGGGAGCAGTCCTCATCGATGGCTTCCACCTGGAGTATGCTGTCATAGATCTTGCCCTCTGTTACGATGGCCTTGTAGGCTGGCTCTTTGAAGGTGGGAGCAAACTCATTGACATCCTTCACCTGAATATGGACCACGGCCCTGGATCACACATTGGAAAGAAGAGATGATGGTAAAGACGGAATCCTACGTCTGTCCTTTCATACCTCCCAGGGGCACTGACTCACCCCAAGTGTGTGGAAAAACCACAAGCCAGTCAGGCTAGAGACTCCTGCCTATTCTCTGACCTTCCATGTTACCCACCTTTTTTTTCTCTTCAACTTCTTTTTCTCTATCATTTCATCCATTCATTCACTGCTGTATGCAGTAACAATTTAACATCTCTTATTCTATAATAGAGTCCGAGCCAGACTCCATAAAGGAGAAAGTAGAGACAACTCACAGTGTGAAGTATTGTAGCAGAACAAAGCGCACAGGGAAAATTCCCAAGTGGGTCTGCTGGAAAAGGCTGGTTTACAAGAGGAGTCGTGGAAGAAATGACAAATGAACTCAGTCCTGAAGGGTGCCCTAGGAAGTATCTTCCAGCAAAGAGCAGTGTGTAGAGTTTTCCTGGACTGCAATACAGAATGTCCAAATTCCTGCAGGGTCCTGGGCAACTGGGAAGACTTGGGTCAGGGTTGGGGCATAAAGACATCTAAAGGGTAGCCCATGTATGCAGTGAATGGGGGTGGTGGGCCAGTTTGGGAGTGGGCCTCCAGGGAGCTATGATGGGCCACTCACTTGTGTGACTTCTTCCAGGCCATCTCTCGAGGCCCAGCACCACAGTCATAGGCTTGGATGATGAATGTGTACTCCTTCTGCAGCTCGCAGTCGATGGGACTCCTGGCGCGGAGCCGGCCCTCCCCGGATGTCTTATTGAGCACCACAGCCTCGAAGGGCAGCTCCTGGCCATGGATCTTGAAAGCACAGATTTCCCCTGCAGAAGGATGGAAGGCAGTGAGTGGGAGCCGTGGGAATTGCCGGACTGAAAATACTGCCTTTACCGGGCCAGATTCACAGACCCAAAAACTCCAAGCAATTTCCTCCATAAACAGAATTTTCAAACCAGAATTGTTGGTCTCCAGAGATCCAGACCAACATGCTCCTTTCACAGAGAGTAAAACAGTAATGAAATGTCACTCATTTGATGTATCCTGGTAGGGAAAAAGGTGAATTATCTTGCTAGGGAGCTGGCTGATTTTCCCAGCTTCCCCAACAGATTTCCCACTTGTCCTTTGCCTAGTCTGGAATTAAGGAACTTACCTGTAGTCAGAAGACAAATGACTGCAGAGGGAAGGAACAAAACAAACACTAAGCCTTTTCACAACTCTTTGTCCTGGAACAACATTCCCAGTACTTGAAACTGTAGTGCACGTACCAGCAGCATAAGCATCACCCAGAGCTTGTCAAAAATACACAGTTCCAGACCCCACCCGGAACTCTTGGAGTAGAATGTGCATTTTACCAGGATCTCCAGGTGATTATTAGAGCAGCATTGTTCTCCTCTTTCCTTTAGTTATATTTTAAACAGCCCACATTACTGCAGCTAAATTCCTTCCACCTCTCCCACTCAGAGTGGCAATTTTCTCTCTGGAAACAGTAGGGGTATGTCTATGTGAGTTCAGGGTTCCCTGTGGAGCTTGAAAAGCTAAATTCTCAAAGAGCTAAACATGTTGTGAAATTAATGCATTTCTCTGCTTCAGCTAGTTAATGCTTATTATAACTATTTCTCTGCATTAAAATAATAAAGCCATGTGAATACCTCTTTTATCCTGCATTGATAGATATTTATCTCTTGAACCCTGACTGCAAGAAAATCCTGTAGTAAATGCCTTGTGCTGGAAATTTGAGACATGTCTTCTTGCTGTATTAAAGCATTTATTGACATGTTAGAGAGATGATATCCAGCTGTACAGAGAGACCACTCATAACAAAGGGAATATAAGAGCTTCATGTGATATGGGCAGGACAGAGATTGGCTATGGGCTGCTTGGGGGGTAAACTAAGGGTCCAGATTCACTTTCTAGGTTTTCCACTTATTAACTGATAGGTTTAAACCAAGTGGGATTGCTTTTCTGGGCCTTAACTGTGTCATCTATGAGATGGTCTGGGAGATGGTATTGGGGAGAGAGGATCTGCAATTAGATGCTTCAGTCTTGGGCTGACTGCCCAGCTATACTATCTGGACCAGACAGGGGCAAGAAAGGCACCTGGGATGCTATAGGAAGCCTTGCTCTCAACGTGACGTGAGTACCTGCTTGCCTCACCATTGTCCAGGTCCTGTCCAAAGTTTATAATGAACTGACACTATGAGAAGAAGGGTTAACATAATTGCATGCATGCTTTGGGCAGTGGGCTTTGTACTTCCATCTCAGTAGTCTTATTTGACCTTTAGAATAAACCTGTAAGACAGGTATTTATATAAAGTTATGTGTATATATATATATATATATATATATATATATATATATATATATTACAAGACAGAGGAGGAAGAGGAGGAAGAACATGATCAGGGAGATTAATTACTCACACAAGATCACAAAGCTACAGTTGGGTACTAAACCCAGGTATGGCTGAGCTGTAAAAGCATGTGTTTTCCACTCTACCATATCATCTCTAGACAGCTCCATAACTTCAAAGGGGACCACTTGGAGATGCTTCCAGGAACATTCAACATTCCGATTCAAGTCTCGCTCAGGAGAGAAATCTGGCATGTTACATATAGGAAGCATGCTCTGATCTCTCACTAACAGTGTTTTCTAAGATGTTCAATCAATACCAATCTTACCTTTAGGCTTTTATTTTATTACTACTTCTTCGATCTTCAGTTTCATTATGAACATTCCATTTTCACTACCCCTCCTCCTGGCTATCTCTCTAATGTAGCTGTAGAATGATGGCTAAGACAGACAGGTGGTGGAGCGGGTTCTCACAAGAACACTGGTTCCCATTAGCTGGTATTGCCCAGGAGCACTGGGCATTTCAGTCCTGCCTACTCTGACCTGGCTAGTTCTGTAGCCTGCAGAGCAGGAGAACAGATTTCATCTAATCCTCAATTTTAATTCCTGCCCTGAATTAGCTGGGATTGAACACATCAGCTTCTGCAGTGCCTTCCTTGCGAATTTATTCCAAGATAAATGCTAATGCAAGAATATTACAAGGTACCCAGACTGGTTCTGGGGCATTCTTTGGAGTGTCCAACCACTGCCATGTTTCTGAGGTTAATCAGACCATTTCTCTTTAAGGAGCCAAGTTAAACCTAAGATAGAAGGGGGTAATTTTCTGGAAACACCTGATCACAAGCAAAGCAGTTCTCAGACTCATTAATCCTTTACAAGAGAAAGGGGAAGAAGGGAAAGGAGAAAGAGAAGGAAGAATAGACACAAGGAATGACTTCAGGGTCACAAATTTCCATCTAGCTCAATGCAGTTTAAAAGACTTAACATTTTTTTCAAGAGCCAACTAGTATTAGGCTCTGTACTAGGCCTGGTGATACAAAGATAAATGACTAGAGCTTCTTAAAATATAAAGATCATATATTCTCAAGTACTTCTTATCTAGTCAAAAAGGCAGTCAAGCAAACAAGGGCAAGGCTGTGCTCACTCATTTTTCACCAGCTCCAACTGAAACAGGATTCAGCACCCCTTGAATGAAACCTCAAATTCACGTTACCCTTGTTTATTCCACCTTTGCACCTGAAACTTGTGTTCCTGTTGCAACAGCATTCACCTCTCAAATCATCCTTTCATTCACGTAATAAAGATTTCTTAGGAACATGTACTGGGCACCGGTGGAGCAATGGTGAACAAAGCTAGACCCAGACCTGGCCTACAAGTTGTTTGCAGTCCAGTGGAGGAAGGAAATATGCAAATATGTAAATGAAGAGTGGTGACTGTGGTGTGTGCATTCACGGACAGTTACTTTGGGCTAGGAGTGCTCTGGCCTGGTGTGAAGATAGCAGGAAGAGGAAGTAGAGATATTCAGGCCCCGGAGAAGAATCACACACCCTCAGAAGGAACACAGTGAGTCCAAGTGACTGTAGGAACTAGTGTGGCAGGAGGCGAGGCCATGGAGGCAGGGCCAGCTTCATGGGTGTGCAGTGCTAGAGCTATGAGGCTCTTGTTCTGAAGGGCCCTGAACATGATTTAAATATACGCTGCCCGTCTTGAAATTTTCAATAAATTTATCTGTGACCTTGCGTTTGTGCATGAAGTCTTCTGGGACAAGGGAGCATGTCATGAGCAGAGCAGACAAGCACAATACACGACATGTCCATTGTACCTTGCTGTCCTGTTTACGCATAGCATTCTAGATGTCCGTGAGCACAGAATCTGGGTGAGCCCACAACATGTGGGAGTTCAGCGGGACTCAGCTCAGGAAGAAGTAAACATGTTATGTCTTCGACTGAGTGGGTCACTGATAGCCCCAAAGAGCCCTGCTTTCAGCTTAAGCCAAAATTATTCTGCATGCAGAAAGAAGACAGTGGTGTTGCATGAAGTCTGATCAGCCTTAGAACTCTACTGTATCCTTTCTTTTTCAGTTACTTCCCTGTTTGAGCCAATCATTTATACTGAAGATATGGCAGAGAAAGGGAAAGATAAGATAATGCATAGGCCCTTTTCTTTCCTTGTGGCCCTTACCATAGTTAGCCCAAGAGAGAAAGTGCTGGAAGAATGCACATGCCAAGAAGTGGAATAAAAACAGCTGAGTCTGTTTGGGATAGCACTGATACTGATATGAATTTACATATATGTGAGTATGTATGTATGTATATATATATATATATATATACACATGTACACACACATGAACCACAAAATACAAATTCTGTAGTTTTAGTCATCCTGTATACCATTTAAATACTTATATTTGCATTTAAAATGGATGTTACATAATATAAAGTTAAATAATAAAATTTAGGCTAATAATTTAAACTTCAAATTTTTCTTTAATTAGACAACATCAAATAGAAAATTTAAAACACTGCAAGTTGAAAGAGAAAAAAAGGGTGGGGAAGGTCAGAGAATGGAGTCCTGAGAAGAATGATATTTGAAACTTCACTTCCTGGGTCAGGGTATGACAGACACCTCAGGCTGTCCTGATCTTTTGTGAGAGCTGTCACTATAATTTGTTATTACTACTAAAGCATAGCAGTGGGAGGATGACGCATTAAAAAATTAGAAAAAACAAGCCTAAGGTTTCTAGTTACAAGCATCACAAGTTTGCTTTCCACTATGGGAGCTAGTGTGCCAGCTTGTGTACGGGGCACATAGAGGTGAGCAGCACATCAGGTCAACACCGGGCCGGTTGAGGAAGTGAGGCCTGTGGGCCCCTGGGTGCCATCTTCCACTGACTGGCTGAAGTCAGCTTCACTGAGCGCCCCCTTGAGGGCCAGGCTGGAAGAGGAGCCCCTGCCATGCCTAGATGGGCAGGACGCTCTGAGCCCTCAGTTACCTGTCTGTCTCCTCAGTCTCTCTTCAGCTCAGGAGGATTGCAGCTCCTCAGACACCATCAGGAATTGCTGTAGTTGTATCTTTAGACCTCACATAAGATTTTGGGGGAAATGTCTTTAAACTGATTTCCACAATGTATTTTGCTTCTACTCCTGAAAATCCTTGAACAAAAAATTGTATTGATTCCATTTTTTGGGTGGGAAAACATAGTCTCAGAGAGATTTAAGTGGATCACTTTAGGTCAAACCCTCTCTAGAAGGAGAGCTCCCAAAGTCAACATGACCATCCCATTGCACTATGTTATCTGACTTTTTGCACTGTGATAACATTTGCACTGATTATATACTAGCAATGATAAATAAGTGTCAGTAAGTGAGTAGCACCTAACTGAATTCTTCACTACAATGTTTTTAGTGTTTTTAGAAGGCCCATTTCACTGGGCTGGGATATAGCTCAATGGCACTAGCACCTGCTTGGCAAG